GTGGCCGACCGCCATATGACAAGTATTAAATACCTTGAAAGACTAAATCGATGGGAAAACTATCACATATGTCATAATCGATCCCTGTTAAAACGTCAGCTTATAACCCGATCGAACCGTCGAAAATCATATCGATTCTCACCGCATCCTTCGTAGAAACGATGAGACTATCTGTATATGGTCGAAATAGATTTCAGCCTTCTTACGTTCGATCGAGTTCAAGTGGTAAGAAGTCAGAGTGGGATTTTGGGAGTGAGCTCCGAAGACAGTACTAACGAGCCTTGAGTCCGAAGGCTGCTCGAGGAGTCGGCTCGATAACATTATCGAGCCCTTGATCAAATCGATCCGCAAGGTATTGCTTCGAGGTCACAAATACGCGACGCCCATCCCGAAGGTTGAACTCTAGCCAAGACTAAAGGGCTCGACCTAGTAACGAGTTCGACCCAGTATCGAGCTCACAGACAAGAGCCGTTGCAACCGCACCAAGAGAAAGAATCTTGGCGGGAATCGAGGAAGAGACAAATCATCATGGGTCCTCCACTATATGCTTTATTTTATTATTTTTTGTTATAAATAAAGTAATGGCCTTCTAATATAAAAGGGGGATCCTTATAAGCTATGGACACACTGTATACACTGGAACAAAAGATACCTCCTTGTGCTTGTTTTACTTCATTTTATTCATTCTTTCTGATTCATTATTCCCACTGTCATAGTCAAGAATATTCGTATTGCTATCTCTCTATACGATTTGTATCAAAGGGTATCACATATCCTTAGAACCATACATAAATTTAACGTTATCCGAATTTTCGGGTAAACAGTTATTTCTGGCGCAAGAACGAGTTGTACTTCTCATAGGTGATCAGTATTTTCTAGATTTTAAGGGATGGGATAAATAATTAACATTAATAGGCTCTAATCAACTCCAAGCAGTAGGATTAACTTTTGATACTTCAGAGAACACTTTGTCCTTTGACTTAGATGCATGTGATTGAAGTGTACAAAAGGTTTGTTCAAATTCACTATAAAATGGACTATATATGTTTCATTATTTTCTTTCTATATCTTTTCTTAAATGCTAAAAAGTTATAGCTATCTTTTTAGCTTTTCAGACTATACAAATCTTAATTTTAAGGATTTGAAGAAGAGTTCAAAGTTCAAACACTTTGTTCTTCAGAGTATTCTCTTGCTTTTCTTGTGCATTTTTATGTGTCATTTGGTTTTATAGAAGATCTCTATTTTTATAGAAGAGTTCAAAGTTCAAACCCTTCGGCTTGATGATTATTTCTTTTTATTCATTGCACCAATTTGGCCTTTGGAAATTCTACTACCCTTATGGGCATGTTTGGGATGAAAAAAAATATTTTTCGGAAAATATTTTTCAATTTTTCCATGTTTGGTTGGCTTAAATGTTTTGAAAANTCAACAAATGAGTATTTTCTTTTCCCGATATAAAAAAGTATTTTCTTTTCATGATTTAGAAAAAATAATTTTTTTATTTCAACAAAATAAGTATTTTCTTTTCATGATGTAGAAAAAGTATTTTCTTTTATTTCAATAAAATGATTATTTTATTTTCATGTTGTAGAAAGATTACTTTTTTTTTTCAACCAAAAAAGAGTATTTTCTTTTTAGTTATGGAGCATAAATTTCAATGATATTTTGCATAAAGAATTAAAGTAACACATTAGTTCCTTTGGGTTTGTGTGAATTTTAGAAGAATAATTAAATTGTTGAAGAAAATAGAGTCATAAAAACGTTGGGTATTTGGGGGGGGGGTGTAACGACCCGTCATGTCGTTTTGAGTGTATTAGCCCCGATCCCCTATTTATTGCTTCCTCTGTATTATATTGTAGTTACATGACTTGCCGGGGTGCTTGGTTTCGGGGTCGGGAAAGTTTTAGAGTGAAATGGGACACATAGTTCCTAAGTTGGAGGTTTAAGTTGTTAGAGTTGATCGTAATTTGACTTTGGTGGAGCCGACTCCAGAATAGAGTTTTGACGGTTTCAATAGCTCCGTATGGTAATTTTAGACTTAGGAGCACGATATGATGTAGATTTGGAGGCCCGTAGGTGGTTTCGGCGCGATTTGGCGAAGTTAGGAAAATTAAGGTTTGAAAGGTTTGGGAAGTTTGACCAGAAGTTGACTTTATTTATATAGGGGTCGGATCTCGATTCCGGAAGTTGGAATAGGCCCGTAATTTATTTATGACTTGTGTGTAAAATTTGAAGTCAATCGGAGTTGTTTTGGTATGAATCGACATTAGTTTTAGAATTCGGAAGTTCATAAGTTCCTAGGCTTGAATCGATGCGCGATTCATGATTCTAGTATTGTTTGATGTGATTTGAGGCTTTGAGAGTGTTGGTATGATGTTTTAGGACTTGTTGGTATGCTTGGTTGAGGTCCCGGGGGCCTCGGGTGTAATTCAGATCATGTTCGGCGCATTTCAGAACATTGAAGATTGCTGAATCTGGTGCTTCTGATTTCCTTATACGCGATAGCAAGTGGAAAAATATGATAGCGAAAAGTAGTGTGGCACTGGAGGGAGTTTGCTTTATACGATCGTGAGGTGGTGTATGCGATCGCAGAAGGTTGGTTTACAGTGAATCGCGAACGCGTGTAAGTCGCGTTACCGAAGAAGGAAAGGCGAGGCTGCGGCTGAGGCAGATTGAGCTACGCGATCGCGTGGCCTAGGATGCGATCGCGAAGTTGAGGCAACTTGTTAATTGCGTTCGCGGTTACTTTCACGCGATCGCGGAGAGTAAATTTCAGCTGGGCAGAAATTGTGTTACGCGATCGCGATGTGTAAATCATTTGGCAGCAGACTTAAGTTTCAAAATCGAGGGTTTATTTCATATTTCACACTTTGGACATCGAAAACTCGGTTTGAGGCGAAATATCAAGGGATTTTCAGAGAGAACATTGGGGGTAAGAATTTCTAACTCGATTTTGGTTAAATTACTCGAATCTATCATTGTTTTTATCATGTAATTAGGGATTGGAGTTGAAAAAATTAGGAAAAAGTGGTAGAACTTCTTAGTCTAAGTTTTTGAAAGATGAAATGAGGTCGGATTTCAATAATTCTTGTCCGTTGGACTCGATATCGAATGGGTGTTCAGATTTTATAATTTTGGTTGGATTCTAAGACGCGGGCCTAGGTTTGACTTTTGGGTTGAATTTTTAATTCTTCACAATGATCGTAATTTTTATTTTTTGAATTTGTTTCCTATAGTTGCTAGATTCAAGTCGTTCGCAGTTGGATAATCGAGGGAAAGACCTTCTAGTTGATTGATTTAGCGTGGTTTGAGGCAAGTAGATTGCCTAACCTTGTATGGGAAAATTACCCCTTAGCATTTGGTGTTGTGATAATTGTGCTATCTGTAAGCCGTGTATGCAAGGTGACGAGTGTGTACACGGATTAAATGTGAAAATTGTCGATTTTTAGCTATGTAGATTCCTTTCTAGCTTTAATTGAGATACTTTAACATGTCATAGTCATCATATTTGGTCTAATTTCGCATGTCTACTTGTCTTGTCTTTGACTTGCTAATTTCTATACATGTTTAGTTAAGATTCTTGTTTCCTTATTTCAAATTCATTATTTAACTGTTGAATTCTTACTTGAAATTGCTATTTCTTGGAATATCTTGTTGTTTAAATTGGTATTGAGTTGCAAAAGCCCTGATTCCTATTGAGGCAAAGTGTTAAGTTATGAAATATTATTCGATTGAGTTATTCTTCTGGTTATTATTGTGGAGACTTTGTGTACATTGTGGTTGAGCCGTGGGCTCCTTATTGTGAAAAACTGTTATTGTTTGGTTTCTATAGCAATCTGTGATATTGGGCACTTGAGGTACGATTTTTGATACATTATGATATTGATATGCATGTGGTGGTATAAGGTCTGGGTATTGAAACACGTGCGGTGAGATAAGGTTAGCTTGATATGCGTGACTAGTAGGAGAACTACTAGAAGTCATGCGGTGTGATAAGGTGGGCTAAACGCGAGATGCTATTTCGGTAAAAAATGATTTTCAAAACTAAATGTAAAGGCTCCCGCGGTGATATAAGGAAAGATTGTGATTTATTTTTGTAATTTGAGAGTACGAGGTGGTACCTCGATAGTGACTCTTTTTGACATTTTCCCATTCTTTTGTACTTGTCTTTGATCGTTGTTTCCTTAACATACTATTAATTTTCCTTCTCCGTATTGCACTATTTGCTTAGTTCTGTGTAGCTAATCTTATTGTACTATTCATTGTTTCATTTTCCTTATTGTATTTATACACTGTCTACATTTGTTTAGTCTTTTATTATTTCTAGTAGGATCCTGATATGACCTCGTCACTACTCTACCGAGGTTAGGCTTGGCACTTACTGGGTACCATTGTGGTGTACTCATGCTACTATTCAGTACATCTTTTTGTGCAGATTCAAGTACTTTTTACCAGCCCAGGCATTAGTTGGGATTCTACTGCGGAGACTTCAAGGTATACATGCCGGCATCCGCAGGCCTCGGAGTCCCCCTCTCTATAGATCTCTTATTTCATTATCCTTCATATGTAGACACACTGTATAGGATTATCCAGTATTCACACTTAGAGCTTGTGACTTGTATTATGTTGGGTCTCGGGATTTGTGTATGATGAGTTGTAACGTTGTTTTTATATAGCTATTGAGTTTGAGACTTATATCTATTGTTATTTCAATAATTCTGCATGTTGTTGGGCTTACCTCGTCTTAGAGACTAAGTGCTGTCACGACGTCCTATGGAGGAAAATTAAGGTCGTGAGAAGTTGGTATCAGAGCTCTAGGTTCATAGGTGTTATGAGTCACAAGCAGGTTTAGTAGAGTCTCGCGGATCGGTACAGAGATGTCTGTACTTATTTTCGGGAGGCTATGGAACTGTTAGGAAAAGCTTCACTTCTTTGATTCCTTATCGTGCAAAATTATTGACTTCGGGATTCTAAATTTCTGTCTTTCTATTCTCTCACAGATGGAGAGGACACATACAACTGGATCGGATGACCAGACACCCGCGCCCCCTACTAGAGGCGAGAGAGGTTGTGGCCAGGGTAGAGGCCGAAGACGTCCACGTGGTGCAGCCAGAGCACCTGCCCGAGCTGCTACAGAGGAGCCACCAGTAGCTCCAGTTGGAGAGCAGGCACCTGAGATGCCTGTTACTGCCCCAGCATTTCTGGAGACCCTCGCCCAGTTTCTGAGCATGTTTGACACTCTGGCTGAGGAAGGGTTGATCCTACTTGCTCCTGCTACATCTCAGGCCGGGGAGGAGCACAAACTCCCACTGCCCGTACCCTAGAGCAGTGGGAACAAGTTGACTAGGTCCCAGAGGTCATATCGGTATTGCCGGTAGTCCATTTCAGCCTGAGCTTAGGGTAACAGCTTCTGAGGGGGAGCAGATCAGGCTCGAGAGGTACAAGAAGTACCACCCTCCTACTTTCAGCGATTTAGCATCAGAGGATGCCCAGGGTTTTCTTGAGGAGTGCCACAGTATCCTCCGTACCATTATGGAGTCTAGTAAGGTTGCTTTCACTATGTTCCAGCTTAAGGGATTGGCTTATCAATGGTGGCGAGCGTATTGGGTAGTCCGGCTGAGGCGGCTAGACTTACCTGGGATTAGTTCTCAAATATGTTCTTGAGGGATTTTGTTCCCCAGAGTTTCACGGATGCATGGCGCGTAGTGTTTGAGCAGTTTCCAGGGTTCTATGATCGTATAGGAGTATGAAGTCTGGCTCAGTGACTTGTCCAGGCATGCACTAGCCTTGGTTGCTACTGTTAGAGAGCGAGTCCGTCGATTTATCGAGGGGCTCAACCCTGATATCAGATTTAGCATGGACCGAGAGCTAGATATGGACATCGCATACCACCAGGTAGTGGAGATCTCTAGGAGACTCTTCCACATCCACATTTAATCTCTTACCAACTGTCTTTGTGGATGTAGGTATCGTTGTATTATGAATAAAGTAGAATTTAGGAGTTTGAATTCTTACAACTGAGCTCTACCACACGATCTAGAGTAAGAAGAAAGAGTGATAGTCCTAAATGCCTTGTAGCCTCCTTCTTATAAGTGTGGTGCACAACACGCCCATAAACAAGACTCTACTAGACACGGCTTGTAGACTCCCTTGGAAAGAACTGCTCTGAAACCACTTTTTTCACGACCCAAACCGTAGGGCAGCGATGGGCACCCTGTGCCTTTCTCAACCGAGTACCAATGTAACATATCTTTCTTATCATACCATCATGGGTAAGTGGGCCAAAAGGGCAGTCATGAGATAACCAGAATAAAATATAAGGGAATACTAGACATAGGACGACCCAACACGATATAGAAACTTATACATATGACATACGGGCCTATACAACCGAAATGATCATTTGTACACTTAAAATATAGGCCAATAAGGCCATACAATCATCCATATATATGACATATTATAACGACCCGACCGGTCATTTTGAGCATTTGCACTTCGCTCGGTAGTTTGAGTGCATGACTAGATCCGTATGATGTATTATGGCTTGTGTGAATTGCCGGTTTTAGTTTTCAGGTTACTCGTAACTGATTTGGAAGAATAAATTTTGTATTTGAAGCTTTAAGTTGGAAGAGTTGACCAAGTTTGACTTTTGTTTATTAGACCCCAGAACAGAGTTTTGATGGTTCTGTTAGGTTTGGATGGTGATTTTTGACTCGGGCGTATACCCGGATTTGCATTTGGATAATTCTAGAAGGTTTCGACGCTAATTGGCAAAAATTGGAAATTTGAAAGTTCAAAGTTCATTTAGGTTTGATTCGTCATTTCGATGTTGTTATGCATGATTTGAGTCCTCAAGTAGGTCCATGTTAGGTTATGGGACTTGTTGGTATGCTCGGACGGGGTCCCGAGGGGCTCGGGTGAGTTGCGAACGTGTTTCAGATCAGTTTCCTTCATTTTGGCCTTGCTGGTTCTTGCTGGTGTCTGGTGCACCAAATCTTCTTCGTGATCGCGAAGTTAGAGGTGCAATCGCATAGATGAAAAATCTGGAGTTGTGTAGTTCCTTCTTCGCATTCGCGAGTAGATGTTCTCATTCGCGTTGGTTTCTGGAGATTGGGCATTGCGTTCACATAAGAGCCATCACGTTCACATAGGGCTGAGTTGAGAGTCAGAGTTTGGAGCTTGTTCATCGCCTTCACGTATGAGGAAAGGCAGTCGTGGAGTGTGGGCACCTGTGTGCTTCGCGTTTGCATGACTTGGTTCGCGATCACGTAACATATTTATGGAGGCAGTGTAGGTTATTCATTGTGATCGTGAAGGTTGTTCCACGATCGCGATTCATTAATTTGCCCAGCGATTATAAAGTACTCTATTTTGGAGGTTTCAGCCATTTTTACATATTTGGAGCTATGAAGCTCGGATTGAAGCGATTTTCATCATATGGATTGGGGTAAGTGCTTTCTACTCGGTTTTATTTATATTTCATGAATCTATCTTCATTTTTAGCATTTGGTTGATGATTTCAAAAGAGAAAGTTGGGGGTTTTTGACAAAGGTTTCATAGAGAGAATTCTTAAGTTTTGAACATCGATTCAGAGTCGGATTTGAGAGAAACTAGTATGGTTGGACTCGTAATTGAATAGGTTGTGGATTTTGTGAGTTTTATAGGGTTTCGAGGTGCGGACCCGGGTTTGACTTTTTGGTTGACTTTGGTATTTTGATAAAAAATTCGACCTTTATCATTTGGAATTGTTTCCCTGGGCTTCATTTGATGTATTTGAGTTGTTTTTGGCTAGTTTCGAGCCGTTCGGAGGTCAGTTCGCACAAGATGGCATTTTTGGAGTATCGTTTGGCTTGCTCGATATTGGATTTGGCTTGTTGGAGGTAAGTAACACTTTTTATCTTGGTGCTAAGGGTATGAATCCCCGAATATACGTGTTATGTGTTTGGTGTGAGGTGACGCACATGCTAGATGACGGGCGTGTGGGCGTGCTCCATGTGAATTATGGCTCGGTTAATTTTGTGGTACTATGTAGTTACTTAATCTTGTCTTTATCTATGAAATTTCTACGTGATAGAGTAATTGAGCTGTGATCCATGTTAGAAACCATGTTTAGGCTATAAACTTATTCTGTTGGGGGCCCGCTGAGGTCATTTCTGTTGTTGAGATATTTGCTTTAATTGCAGTTACATACTCAATCATATTCATTCATTTGCATATCATATCTCAGTCTCTGTTATCATTTGTTGTCATAATATGTTATCATTGTTTGGGCTGATTGTCATGAGATTTGTGAGCCAAAGAGAATTGAGAGATTGTTGACTGAGTTAGGGCCTCAGAGCCATGTTGCGAGTAAGATATGTGGGTCGAGTTTCACGTCGCAACATGCATTATGGCTATATGTGGATCGGGTTGCACGCCGCAATAGGTCTTATGGCTATATATGGATCAGGCTGCACGCCGCATCAGGTTATATTACCGCTTGGGCAGGATCCACCCCCTCCAGAGTTGGCACACCCACAATGAGCACAATTACTGTTGATTTATGATGTGATCAGGCTGCACGCCACATCAGGTATCATACAATGCTGAGTGACTGAGTGTGCGGAGTGATTGAGCATGAGGAGTGGGAGTGTGAGACTGTGATATTGAGTACTCTGAGAGTGGTACATGAGTTCATCATTGTGACACATTGCATCTAACATGCATACTTGACATATAGGCATAAAGGTGCATTTTCTCATGATACACGATTTTGTGACAGTTATGACTTCACATGCACATTGACATGTAGGCATAGAGATGTATTTTTCTCATGCTATCTGAGATTGATTCATCTTACCTGTTGTTGAAATTTTTTGGGAAAAATCAAAGGTTTCACACTTACTCATATTTTGGTGATTTCGGTGAAGGATTTGGATTTTACTGTTATACTTGAAAAGCATGCCTACTTTTTCCGTAACTGTGAACGAGTTGAGCATCACATCTTTGAGTTGATTCTTGTACTACTTTCATTATCTTGTTGTGAGTGATATTGGCTATTGACTCTGACCGTTTGTTCAAGCTCATCACTACTTTCAACCTAAGGTTAGGTTTATTACTTATTGAGTACATGGCTGGTTGTACTCATACTACACTTCTGCACCTTGCGTGCATATTTTTGATGCTGATGTCGCTGTGTATGGGGGGAGCTAACATTGAAGACGTACCTACATTCCGGTTTTAGCTACCTCTTGCTCATGGTAGCTTTAGACTTATGAAAATCTCTTTATGTACATTTCAAACAGATGATGTATCTTATTTCATACCAGATTTGTAAATTCTAAATCTTAGAAGCTCATGATTTGTACTACCAGTCCTTGGGGAATGTATAAAGATTTAGTTATTTTATCATTTATTTGTCTCAATAAATCTCATTTGAATTGGTTTATTGTTAACTGGCTTACCTAGCGGGTTGGGTTAGGTGCCATCACGGCTAGTTGGATTTTGGATCGTGACAAGTTGGTATCAGAGCTCTAGGTTCATAGGTTCTATGAGTCATGAGCAAGTGTCTAGTAGAGTCGTGCGGATTGGTAGGATGACGTCCATACCTATCTTCGAGAGGTTACAGGGCATTTAGGATAAACTTCCCATCTTTCTTTCCTTATCGTGCGACATTGATTCAACTTGAAGCGTAACTCTTTGAATTCCTTCCACGCATTCGTATGCGCATGTAAGTGCTCGGTATCATCTATGCATCGGCGGCTTGTGATTCCATGGATGAGGTGCGAGATATAATTTCTGTATGCTGATGATGGGCTAGTTTAGAGGACATGAGGCCGGGTTTTGACTGTAGCTCGAGCACGGGGATTTCGGTTGTGTGAGCACATGATTTTGGACTTATAAGTATGGAAGTGTACCTATTAGTGGAATTTGTGACTCAATGAGTTGTTGGATGACCATATGATGAGTATGATGTGACTGGGGGATGTGTTCAGATGGTTTGAATGTGACGGGAAGAGTTTTCTTGGGATGTGAAAAGGACTATTAGGTGCTTGATTTTTGTCTTGATGTAACGTATAGTTTCAAGTTATGAGTGTGTTGGAAGATTTTTCATGTTGTTTAATTATGGGACGAAGTAGATTTTCATGTCTTGTTGTGAGTTTAGACTCAGGAAGATTAAGTGATGGCGTAGTAGTTGTGGCTGTGAAAGGTTATAGAGAAATGTCAGTTTGAAGCTAAACGGGTGGGTTATCACATGCGGGGTAATCTACAGATGTATGATCCTTATGATGTTGTGTGGAGGCCTTCTTTTCTGCCAGTGGGTTATATTTGTGCGATTAGA